ATACAGCCCGTCCGGGGTGACGAAGGCTGTCTTGCTTTCATCTTCATGGTGCATCATAATCTGATGATATCCCTTGAATGTATCCATGAAGCTCATCAACTCGGCCCCGGCCGTCTCATCGACCATCTGATGGATACTCGGTAGTGGATACGGGTCGAGCGGGCAAGCTTTGTTGAGATCTGGGAAATCAATGCACATCCTCCAAGCTGGGGGCTTTGGAACAAGAACAATATTTGCCACCCACTCGGGATAGATCACCGGTCGGATGTGCTCGATCACCGCCATTTTCTTGACCTCCTCTTTGACGAACTCACGGCGATCGGATGAAAGGTGCTGGGTCTTTTGCACGACCGGCTTAGCTGCGGGATCAACGGCTAGCTTGTGACAAATTACCGTTCGGTCGATCCCTGGCATGTCTTTGGGCCCCCATGCGAAAATATTAGCGTATTCCCGGAGGGTAGCTAAAATTTCTGCTCGGAGCTCGGGGGTGAGGGCCCGGCCAATCTTGATCTTCCTGTCCGGTCGGTCCTCGGACAGGGGAACTTCTTCTATTTCCTCGGAAGTCTCGGGTTGCTCCTTCCGGTCGTGGGAAACCTCCTTGGCGATCGTGTTTACCCGGGAAGACGTACCAGCATCACGCATATTGACCGCTCGGGTGTAACACTTCCGGGCAGATTGGACATCGCCACGGACCACACCGACCCCATTAGGAGTGGGGAATTTCATGCACAGGTGGGGCATTGAAATTATCCCACCGATCTTCATGATCGCGGGCCGGCCCAAGATGATGTTGTGGACGCAGTGCAGGTTCACCACAACGAATTCCATCTCGGTTTTGATCGACTTCGGCGGGGTGCCGATCTCCACTGGGAGCGTAATTTTCCCCTCGGGGTAGATAAGAGCCCTGGTAAATCCCGACAAGGGTACGCCGACCAGAGTCAGTTCGCGCTTGTCGAGCTTAAGCTTCTCGAACACGTCCAAATAAAGGACGTTGACACTGCTCCCAGTGTCTACCATAACCCTCTGGACATCCGTCCCGTTCACGTCGATGGTGACCACGAGAGCCTCCATGCCGTGGTCACCACTGCTAGGTTGATCTTCAAGGGAGAAGGTTATCGGCTCCATTTTCTGTCTTTTCCCGGTGTCTCGGGAATCTACAATGGCGACCGGGCAGTTCTCCCTCGGTCGGGAAGTATCATCCAATCCACCAAAGATCACGTGGATGGTCGGCTGCTTGATGGGGGGTCAGGATCTCGTCGGTCGTCTCGACGGTCATCCCTGCGGTCATATCTTCGGTCCTGACCCGACCGATCAGAGCGTCCATCGCGATCAGAACGATCGGAGCGGTGATGGGAACGCCGATGATCCCTCCGATCGGTATTCTTCTTTGTTTCCTCTCTCTTCCCCACACACTTGTCCAACTTTCCACGGTTGAGAAGATCTTCCAATAGTTGGCGCAAGTGGAGCGGGCCGGAACCTCCGGTTGTGCTTGTGGGGCCTGCCGTGGTACCTCCATCGCATCAGCACCCACCGACCCCAACCGCGAACGAGACGAGCGTCGAGCCCGGGAAGTCGGCTGATGCTGCGGCTCGACTTGAGCAGTCGGGTATACTGGAGGGGCGGCGGCTAGAGCCGTGTACGCAGGCGTATAAGGGGGGTAGCCGACTGGTGGTGTGTAAAACATCGGCTGAGCGGGCCAGTACCCGTATGGAGGAGGCGGGACCGGGTAAGGGTACTGCCCGGGGAACTAGGGCTGTGGACCGGGTGTTGGATATCCCGGCTGGATGTAATTGACCGGCTGTTGGGGGGCCGGATACTGAAATGCTGGATGAGGTGGTGAGAGGTTGAGATTAAGGTCGACTGTCTGACCTTGATACTGAGTCGGCTGATGATCGGATGAGCTCGCTGCATCCGCTTGATCATCACGGAACAGATCGTATGCGTAGGGATACATTGTGATAGGAAGGACGGGTGCTCGTCAAGACGTTAACTTTCGTGCACGGGTCCCCACGGACGGCGCCAAAATGATAGTGTTAATTGCCACGTAAGCGGAAATAAATAAATACAAGACCAATTAAAGCAATTAAATGTCTTTTATTGATCAAGGTGAAGGCCCTAAGTACAATCTAAATGGCTGTTCCGAGTACCGACTGACTGCGGTCGGGATTCTCTGATAACAACCTATCGATCATCCAAAAGTCCTTCACACTGTTGCCACCGCGGGTATTTATAGCCGCGAGGCCGGAGACACAAGTCCGACCGTCCAGCATGTCGCCCACGTAGCAACCACGTGTCGCCCTCCCGGGTGCCCTGCCTGTCAGCACGTAGTGCTGCCACGTGTCTCTTCTCAGCTCTCTCGCCTAAGGGCTACCGGTCGGGTACTGCCCGGTCGGGAACCGACCGGGTTCTTCTAAGAAATCCGACCTGTAACCTGCACAAATAAGAATAAAAGGACGAAGGCATGTCGGTCGGGGTATTCCCTACCAGTAACAATTTATTGTTTCAAAATGCTAAAATTCAAAAAGTTGCTCAAAGTAGCTTTTTCGATTAATTTTTTAAGAAAATCGTTTGTATGTAATCAGCTAACAGCTAACTACCAATTCAAACACTTTTCTACCATCAACTAATGCTATCAATTAATCAAATCCACTAACCCAATTAGCTAACAATTATTTCCCAAACACTCCATAGTCTCTAAAAAATAAGACTTTGTTGTTATAGCTTTTGTTTCTTTATTTAACTTTTCTTTATGAATCAAAAATTTAAAAGAGAAAAAGTTCACACTGAATTCATAATCGTTCCAATTACTTTCAACATTTTAATTTGAAAAGGACAAACATTATATAGACACAGAACTAATTACACTATGCACTCCTTTCAAAAAAAAAAAAAAAATTACACCATGCACTATAAATAATTTATAGATTTTTAGACTGACAAAAAAGTCATCAACATATATACAATCCACCCATCTACAAGGAAACTGCTTTAAACGTACGTGTCAACTTTTCTGACTTTACGATGCATTATAATTGGCTTCAAATCGTTATTAACGAAGTTTAAAGGGCATTAATTAATTATTAAACGTCGTCATTTTTGGGTGATATGGCCTAACTTGACCTCGTCAAATGTTTTAGGTTCCGACCAGTATGCTGCCGACACATCTTGAATGTTCTATGGCTAATGACGCACCAAAGTCAACTTATCAAACCGGTCCATTAAATAGAAGGTGCTACACTATTTTGAAAAAAAGCTCATACACGTCACTATTGCTGCATTGCGATCTCTTTCGCATTATTCTTGGCATATACCCAATCTAAAATTATAAGTATATCTGTATATTATAAGGAAAATTATAATATTGGTTTTAGTTATATCATCTTTACAATGTTATTACTTTTTTATTTTCTCAAACATTTTCATAACTAAAGAATTTAAACCCCATCATCGGGATTCAAACTTATGACGACTCATTTGGATTGGTAACCGGGATGTCATCACACTACATGATAATTGACATGAAGAAGAAGATAAAATAAAAATAATTTGATATTTATGCAATGTAGATGGGATGCCGTGGGCTTCTTCCTTTTGAGGTCGTACTACACACAAACATGATTAGTCTTGGTCATAATTGACTGATCGAGAAAATTTATGGCTGAAACCAATATATATATATATATATATATATATATATATATATATATATATATATATATATATATATATATATATATAATTGATGTTGTAATTAGAGATAATGTTTGCTAGACTAATTCAAGAATTCGAACTACTTGCACATGAAGCAAGGATCTTTTTTTTTTTTTAGAGACGAGGGAGACTTATAGTCACTATCTAATGATACATTGATACTACTTAATAAACTCAACTCCTGTGTAATAATTTACAAATCACATATAAAAGGTAAATCATACAAAAAAATTTTGTGATAAGTTTAACTAAGGAGTGTTGTAAAGAAATTAAGTTACTAATTTTAGTAGTGCAACTACTCACATGGAAAATGAGGTAGATCATGTTTTGAATAGACTAGTCTATGTTTACACCTGTCATAAAAATTTAATTCTCTATATTATATATCAAAAGTCATAGTTTGTAAAAACTAAGATAAAAATGATGAATTGAAAAAGTGAATGATTCTATATTGCCACCTTCATTCAAAGATAAACTTCTTTTCGTATGTCAAATAGCTTTACCAAATAGATGAAGAGTTTTTTCTTCTTCTTATTTTTTTTTTCGCGTAAATAAGTATAAGATGTTATTAGAATTCAAATTTGACTTCGCATTTACGAAGAGTAAAGTCTTATTACACCTGAAGTCGACTCTATCTTATTTAGGATTGAATATACGTAACTCTTATTACAATTAAGATCAATTTTACTTTAACCATAACTAAATATGATAATTAGATGACAAGGTTATGGTATCATTGGTATAGTTCATAATCAAATGAGAACCAACCTTAACATGAGAACTCTGAACTTGTGAAGGATTACACCGCATTTACTACATAAGTACTTGTGAAGGATTACACCATCCTTACTACATGAGTGCACTACACCTAAATACGATTACACCGCAAAGTCGTAACAGTGCAATCATGTAGTAGTTATGGTGCAATCCTTCACAAGTTCGCAACTCACAAGTTAATTTGGTTCTCACCTGAATAGAAATCTCATTTGCTACCTTAAGCAAACAACCCAATTCTGTACAAATGTTAGGAATGTGACTAGAAAAATGGTAGGATTTACATCTTATTGAATGTACCAAAACAACTTCTAACACCCACTTTGTGGTCTAGAAGGAAAAAATGTGAATACAGAAGCTAAAACCAAACTCTTTGTGTCTAATTCTCTTTGTACAAATTCTAAGCCAAAATACATATGAAAACAGAGGGATGGAAACTGATGAGATGACCATAATCTTTAACCAAATGAAAGAATGAACAAAGAACTAAACTGTATTATCCATCATCATCATCATCATCTAACTGTGGATGCAACAGTATGAGCCCACCATTTGAGACTGTCTTTCATGTTAACCTCATTGTTCATTGCAGGGATTCTCCACTTCATCAACTGGTTCTTCTTCCTCTCTTCTTTCTCCATAGCCTCCCAAGCTTCAGAGAGATAAGGACGAGCTCTGGCAGCCTTATTCGGCGTCTTCTCCTCTTCTTTCTTGCCCAGTTTCTGCAGCCCGGGAATGATCTCAACCAGGCTCGAATTCACATCTTCTTCAGAGAATTCAAACCCCAGATCCATAAACCCTTTCAGCTCCTGAAACTCAAGCTCCGATAAGCTCTTGCTCAGTGATCCCTTCTCGCCCTTTCTCCCCCTCCTCTTCCCCCTGTTTCCCCTCTTCACTTCCTTCGCCGTCTCCGGCGTTGACCGGAAATGCGATTCCGGGAGGACTGAGACCGGGGAAAAGGAATCGGAATTGTACCCGGAATTGAAACTCAAAAGCTCAGCTTTTGACCTGGTTTCAACCACCAATTGGGTTGGAAATTCCTTCCATTCTGAGGAACTTTCCTTGATTTTACGATCTGGGTCTGTTTCAGAAGTCGAGGAAGATGATGGGTCTGGTCGTTTCTTGAGAATTTCGAGATGGAACCAGCATGAATCGAAAAGGGTTATTACAGCCTCAGGGTCCATAAATGGAGGCTGAATAAGATGGGGAAGGTATCTAAGGTCAGAGGCTTAATTTGAGTGAAAGATTAATTAAGGGGAAGACAATTTTGGGGCTATATATACTGATTTTCTTGACCAAATTACCCTTCCCGCACTGCTCATATTGCAGAAAGGCTTCCACCTGTTTTGATTGATCAACACGTTATCACATTATTTTATGCTACACTTGAAGTATGACTTGTTGGATTCCAACTTATGACGTTGATTTAGAAAAGTCACAATCATACAGCTCGATCACAAGGTCTTTGGCAACTTCTACTATTTAAATAAAATAAGAAAAAATCACTAAAAAATATTAAATATATAAAACATAATTCTAATATTAGAATGTTAGAAATTCAAATTTTATCAATACTTTCTCATAATTTTCTTTTACTAGTAATTACACAATTCAATAACGATTTATATAATTATATTTCTCACCAATTTTTAAGACAAGAGCACCGAGGACCCATCCCCACCCATCTCCAACCTCAAGAAATCAAAGTAAAAGAGAAAAAGACAGCAAATTGACATAGATGCCAAAATGTAATTATTATGTGTATTTGTCCATGAAACCAATAATTAACTTATCACATCCGTGTCGTAATAACGTAGTAAATGATCAACTATGTATTTATCATGTATTATTATGTACTAAAAATTCGAACTTTCCAGAAAAGTAGCATAACTGTATATGCGTACATATGTGTGTATAACGTTATAAAATACACACAAACATAATAATAGAGAATAGATAGATCATAGATAGACCACCCATTAATTAAATGAATATATAAATTTTACTTTTAACAACGATGATAAAGATATTTACCGACCTTGAAAAACCGTAATCGATCCTTATTAATTATGATTCGCAAGTAGGTGACCGACCTAAATCGACGTTCTTAATGGTCGGTGACCTGCCTATTTTTAACCATTCACTTGTTACTTTGTCGCGTTCCACCATTCTCGATCAGTGTGTATTGGGAAAGTGGGACGGCCGACATTAATACTCGTTGCCAGGCTACCAGTACGTGTAGCCAAATAAGGGAAATGCGCCTATAAAAACCGCCCAGCCTAAATTAAAGGAAACTTTTGGAGAGGATAAGATTGGAACAAGAAGGAAGGTCGGAAGTCTCTTGTGCAACGCACCCTTAATATTAGTAAAGTACTTTATTTGTTTTCAATCAACTGTCTCTCATTATCATGTCGTGTTTACATTATCAAACGATATAATGTATATATAGTTCCGCTTTGTAAGGCCCGCAATTGGTCTGATTTATTTACAGACATTGTATTTAATTCCTTTAATTGTTGTAATGGATTTACTTGACGGGAATAAAATTTAATGTACATTAATTAGTTTTTTTATTAAATAATTATCAAAATGCTCTCCCGATTATAATCATTTACCACTTTGGGTCTTGACTTCAAATTTCATTTAATAATAATATCCTTAACTATGAAACTTATAATTGATCGACATTTTGATATTTAATTATTTACTAAACCCAAAAATACAACACTTAGACATGTGTGTTTAACACGAACCCTCTCCCTACAAAATCGAGCGAAGAGAGAGAGAGAGAGACAGAGAGTAGAGGAACCATATATACATATTATATACAGAGTATTATTTACGTACGGTTTAAAAAATAAAGGTAATCTTAATATAATATTTTTGGACTTTATCTTTATTGGAGGGAAAAGTGAGATTGGAATGTGGAGGAATGTGAAGTGGCTTAACACGGGAAGCAACTGATAATTGCGTGCGGTTTAAAAAATATGACCTTATTGTCACATGTCAATCGTAATAGGTGAGCTAGGAAGTAGGAACCCCAATTGAATTCAATTTCCTATGGACTTAGTAACCACGATTAAATTTTAAGCTCGACTTCATGTATAATTGTCTACAAATTTTTTCAGTTTGAACCGATCAATTATGAGGAATCTAATTTGCTTACCTCCATGTAGTCTTTTGTCAATTAAGATCACAAGGGCGAGCATCACCCAATGTGCACATTCAGATAGCAGTTGTTTCATCAAGATACATGATCCCCTCTCTATTATCTCCCACACAAAAAAAAAATGGTATAGTCCTTTGTAATAATAATAATAAAGTAGGGACAATCCAAACTAAGTTGGTTAGACTGTTGATTCGGTAACCACAAAGTTTCGACTCCTAATAGGAGTAACATATTAATTGGTCTTATTGATTTGAGCCAGTTAGATATGGACAACCTAGACTAATTATCTCCTTGTGGTCTTTTGTTGACTAAGGTCACAAGATAAGATTTATCCCGTGCACATCATCATTGAATAGTAAAAAATAAATAAAATAGTAAAAGCAAAGTTTTAACCGGGTGAACAAATGAAAAACCACATTGGTTGGGATGTGACATCCATATTCCATAGGATAAGCACAAGCACCAAACTAGGTAGCCCATGTGTTGGGGATGGGTAGTGGCAATGCTAGCTTGTTTATATTATTTGCAATGATGATGGGATTTGAGCATCAATCATTAATCCAACATCAAAATGGTCATGCTTCACTTTCCTCTTATAGATGGAGTACAATCTTCGCCTCCCCTATATTTAGCTTAGTTAATTTGCCTTGTTTTATCCCATCTCTTGCTACTCTACCATTATTGGCTTGGTTACATATTTAATCTCCACATAGAATAGTTATTTTGTGTGAAATTGATTTGCAGATTATTACATGCATAAGAGAATGATTTACTCAATGTACACCTTTAAATATTAATTAAAGATTTCTATTGTTATTCAAAATAAAATAAAATCACACCATAGATATACTTCAAAACCGTTAAATAATTCAGAATTGAAAGCATCATCATATCAAACTAGTATGTAGAGTGAATGTTTTGTAATTTGTAAAAATACAAAAGTACAGATTTGGTTGGTTAGTTTCAACATCTACAAACAATGACATTATGCCATTTGTATTTATTTATTTATTTAGCTTGGATCCATGGTTAGATGATGGTAACGTGCACCTCGTGAAGTAGGAGGTTGTACAAATCAATTGCATCGGAGCTGATAAAACATCACTTCCACCACTAAATCACACTAATTATTATAGTAATAATAATAAATGTACAGTCGTTTATGGATAAAGTTTACAGACTTACCAAGCACCCTAAGCCCCAAAAGTTGACATTAGCATATATTATGCAACTACCTGTCATCATCCAATAATTATGCAAGACTTTGGTCATGTTTGATAACATAGTTAGCTTATCAGTCAATTTTAATTTATTTTATTATTATTAGCAGACCATTTTTACAACTGATGATAATTACAACCTAAGTTGTTTATACACAACTCCTGGCATTTTGTATCATAAAAATTTATGAATAATCCTCAATAATAAATAAGGAATAATTTTCACATATAAAAAGAAAACAAAATTATACTCCGTAAAACTGTAAAAGAGATTCAAATATCATAATATACTGTAATTATTAATTCGTCTTCTTTTTACTCAACTTGTATATATATAAAGAAGTATTAGTTATGAGGTAGCCTGGCCTGCAGTCTCATTATAAAATTTATGCACTTTTCCAGCGACTTGCATAAACAAAGAATATAGTGAATTGTCAAACGAAGTTCATCCCTAACTTACTTTAACAAAAGACAACACGAAAGAGATATTCATTTGACAAAAGACAACCCCAAACAGATGTAAAATTTCTTCCTTTTCAAATTTCGAACGTTGGATTGGAATTCGAAGTTAGGACTGTCTATGAAAAGTTTTTTACAATTTGTTAATCTTCTTTGATTGAATCAATCAGTTATGGACTACCTAAGCTGATTTCAATAAAAATGTATACTTCATTCCCAATTGGATTCGGTCATTACGCCTGAAAGTCAAAGCTACGCTGATGATTAGCTAAAACCACAAAACCCCGAGGCTCACGTGCAACATGACCACAAATCTCGTGGGCAAATAAATATTAGTAGTGTATATTTGGCCACGCAAATATATTATATATGTTCAATAACATGAACCATGTTTACATCGGGTACCGCCCCAACCGGCCATTATTAGTCTTTGTAAACCTCACACATTAAAGTAAAAGTCAAATTATATTGTCAAATAACAAAAATGAGTTTAATAAAGTTTAAAGTAATGAGTGACCACTTAAGTCATGATCACAGATATTGCCTACTTTAAAGAACATTTTTGTTGTATATTTTATACATTATTCTTCTTTTGTAGATCCTCTTAACGGCCTCACACACTGACCCGACAAAATATTTGGGAGGATATAAATCACGATCACTTATCAACTTAACTTGCTTCATTATATTTGTTTCAATATTTGAAACAAACAAAACTAAACTATAATCCTACCTTTACATTTCTGAATCATATCCCTTACTCTAACTCTATTATTATTCTCAAATTGTGATTGATTTAATATTTACTTCAAAATATTCTTATTGAAAGAAAAAATAAAAAAAAAAAACAAGAAATTGGTGCGTCGGTGACATAAACAATCCAAAATCATAGTATGTGTTTCCAAATCATAATTAAAACCATTGAAATTTGAAAGATATTATAAAGTATTGCCAACCCTTTGGAAGTGGCCTGGCTAACTCAGTCCAAAATTAATGTACTCAATTATTATCCACAGACGAAGCCCAGACATGACACGACACATCTTATGCTATGTTTTATATTTCTTAAGAATTCATTTACAATATTTAGTTATAGTTTCACATTCTCTATAAATTTCTCATCGTTGACACCCAACAATTGTTAACGTTTGCTTAAGAAAGTGGGCCGGCTTTATTCGTTCATAATATATAATATAATTCGTGTTTGATCATGCCACGATTCAACGAATTTGATAATACTTAACCATCAAGTTAATTACCCTTTCAACAGTTTATGAAACAAAGACTTGAAAAAAACTCAAGTTTATAACGTAAATACTTATCAAATATCGCGAAT